CACCAGTGTGTTGTGTTATCCACTCGTAATGGCTCTCGATTCATTAGTCCAGAAGTTGGCGTTTCACTTAACAGAACTTTGAAGTCGAAATACAGGCAAACCTAATCAAAACTCAGCATCCAAGTGGTAAATGTTTATGAGGAAAACGTCAATCGATTATCACATGTCCACCATAGAGGAGGGCACCGATAATGCTCTGCCCCCTCCCCCCACCCCCGTATTCCTGATAGCATCGCTGTTTCCGCCCGTGTGAATACATGTTCGTTTCACGGAGCCTGGACAACCGAGCAAATCCTTTGGATGCTTCACTTATTTTGGGCAAATCCTTTTGAAATTGAACTTGTCAAGAGTCAGATTGTTCGTGCTAAGCTATCGTCACGGCCATGCCATGAGCAGTCCGATCGCTGGAAATCGCGGCTTCCGCACCGCACGCGCTGGCGTGGCACGCCTGGGGAATATTAACAGCACGTCCACGGGCGTACATGGTCCTCTTTTGCTCGCGCAACGCTTCCTTGATTCTCCTGCACAAAACAGTTGTTGAATTGCTTGCCCCGTCTCTGAGTGGGTAACTCATTCGATGCGTGCGTCGCGTACCCGCGATGTGCCGTTCCCATGTGGAGGGCGCCATGTTGTCCACCGACTTGACGCAGCGCCGGCGGCCGGTGCACGAGCCTGGGGAATATTCGTGTCTGCGCCGCCACCGCCGCTGTCCTTCGTGCGACCTCGCTGGTGCTCCAGCCGACCGGGCCGCGCGTCCGGACGAGCCCGTGGCCGCGCCAGATTGGCCGAGCGCAGCTGCCGCCGCGCTCGACAACTGCCCGGACACATCGGCCCATCGGCTCGTTACACGGGCCCGCGCCGCATCCATTATGCTCAAGTTTTCCCCGGCAAGAGCACCCATGCCGCCGGCACGCCTTCAATGAGGCCGGGCGTAAATGGATTAGAGACGTCCGGGGCGGCTGCGCGGGGACCGGCCAGAGTCTGCCGGTCCCTGGCCTAATGCTGGCCGGCCGATTAACGCGCCCGCCCGATCCCCTGCTCGATACGTCCGTCCCAATTTGATGCTCTCGACCAACTTAAACAAGTGCCGGAAGGGCCCTGCGGGGGCCGACGAAGACGGGGCCGGTCGCGGCCGCCGGCAAGCGTTGGCCAGCGTCGCCGTGATTACCGCGTCCACACGTAAGTTATTGTGCTCGGTGGCGGGAGCGATTGGCGCGTGCGCTCCGGCCTGATCTAATTTATTCTTCATTTTGTTGGAATTGTTTCAGATTAACTTCACGTAGCTGGAAGAGCACAATAGAAGTTCCATTGGCTTAAGAATTTAATAGAAAGACAGCTCGGTCAATTCAGCGGCGGAGAATTCTGCGTCCCCTTGAGCCGCGTCCGGCTTTCGGGCGGCGCTCGCACAATAGGCGACGCCTGGGCATGGACTAGCCGGGGAGACGTGCCGTTGCCGGCTGGTCCCAGATCGGCCCGTAAGTTTGCAGCGTCGCAATCAGACAAATGGCGGGGCGGCACCCTGACGCGCCGACTCCCACGTGCCCGCGACGGAACAGCCGGCTGGAGACGGACAATCCCGCCCGCGCGTGTGTGTATGTGAAGGGCAGCATTGTCCACGGACAGTGCTGCCCCGGCCGAGGCACAATCCGGCCGACTTGTGCCGGGTTTGCGGCGGTTCAGAAAGGACTCTTTGACCGCTGGCCGCACTGCCGCCTGGTGCGCGGCATTCAGTGAGCTGCGGCCGCCCGGTGACCGCCCGGCGGCAGTCCGGCTGCCGTCTCCCCGCTCCGCCAGCGCCGTCGGCTCTAATTGATATGCGGCCGGCCGCGACGCGCGCTTAGTGCGGCTGACGGACTTCGACGGCTGGCGCATGACTGGCGAGCCGAGCCGAGCCGAGCCGAGCCCAGTCCGGAGAGTGCGCCTCAGTGCCGTCCGTGAGTTGTACTGGACCACCGTCCCACACTGCGTCACCTAACTTTGTCTCATCGTACATTTCCTCGAGCCTTCCTCCTTCTGACGTGGCTTGGAATAGGACGACACGACAGACGTCATGCCAAAGGATTCTTCTAGCAATAACAAGAGGCGTGTTACGTCGGCTGTTAATGCCTTGAATTATGCCGAATTATGACGACCCGGGTGACGTCGCCGACGATTCAGAGAACGGTATCACGTCATTGTGAAAGAGCCTATCGTATTTGACAGCTTGTGGGAATGGTGGCAAGCTGAGCCTTCGTTCACGCGTCAGCGGACGTGGGCGATCGCGCTGGCTGTGGCGGACCGGAGGAAACAACTGCAGGCAAGAGCCTTGTGTTCTTTTGGTGTCCAACGAAGAGATTGGCCTTCGGTGCGCTCTTGCTGATCAGCCACCCGGTCCACTTCTAACCCGTATTTACTGTCGCTTAGGCTTCCAGTGGCGCGGGCTTGAGATATGGGCCGACTCGATGTCCCAAATTCAGCGGAAACACATTCGCCAAATCAAAAGTTTTGCAGCTAAGCCTTGGCTGGGACTGAGAGTGCATCTAATGCCAGGCTTTATTCCCGCTGCCCCCGACAGTGTTGGGCTTCAGACATATATCTGGGCGCGAGAGTTTGTGTCACACGCTGACTTCGCTCGTAAAGTCAGGCTATTCAGCGATTCTCGCGAGATTTTTCATACCGCTCTTCAGCCACATCCCATTCGAATCTGGCGTCCGTGCCGGCCAATACGCCGGCGGCTTTCTTTGCCTGTCGGCGGCTGCCAAAGAGCAGCCGGGTGTTAATTGTATCCATCTGTCGCGATATACTATTCATTGCGCTTGTCCAGCCGCATCCAAAATGCATGCAATCGGGCGCCGGCGCCAAATGAAGGCCGTCGGGGCGCCACAGCACCATCCTGCGGCCGGAAGGGACGTCGCTGGTTACCGTCCGGCTCCCCTTGGGTCGTCCCCACTCGCCGCCCTGCTAAATATCTGATGTGTTAAATGTCGGCCGGGCGCCGGCGGCGCGCGCGCCGGCTCCGTGTCAGTCGGAGCGGCACGCCGCCGGCCGCCGCCCGTTTTGTTTACCGGCGCCGCTATTGACTCGTGACGTCACGGGGATGTCGGCCGCCCTGCGCGCCTGTTCTCCAAATGAAGCGCTGAAAAATGATCTCATTTGCTACTTCCGTCGTGTTGACCGAAGTTTGCCGGGCGGCGAGGTGTAGACGGCCGCCGGAGCGGCGGGCCGCGCGCCGCGCGCCGCGCCCCCGGCTAGTAATGGCCCGTCGGAAGCCCCACGCGGCCCGCCCGATCTGCCTGCTTATTTCCCCCAGGACGACCGCCTGTGGGCTGTGATTAAAGCGCCTTATCCGACGCGGCCCGTTATTTGTCTTCGTTTGACCGGCGTATTCGGCCGCCGACCGCTCGGAATAGGCTGCGGCGTGCAGGGCGGCGGCCGAGCCATGTCATGAGCTGTGCAACGCGTGCGTCCGGCTGGTCCTGCACCGCGACACACGGGACATGCGTGTCCCGCTGGTCCCACGCCGCGGCACCCGCGACATGTGTGTCCCGCTGGTCCCACGCCGCGGCACCCGTGACATGTGTGTCCCGCTGGTCCCTCACCGCGGCACACGGGGCACGTGTGTCCGGCTGGTCCCACACCTGGGCGACAAGAGACGCGCGGGTGGAGGGTCGCCGGAGCTCTTCTACGCGCTGGCTCCAGTTCGCGCCGGTAATTCGCATAGATCCGCCGCTACGCTCATGACTTTCGGCGTCCCGGTCTTGACGCGCGGAGATTATCGGGGAGCCGGCTCAGTGGAGCGGCGTATGCTGGCGTCGCACGCCAACTCGGGCGGGCGTGTGGACGTGTCGAGCGCTAACTTCGGCCCGGGCCGCCGGCGCTATGGTGTCGTGTGTCACATACCTACCAGTGGTATGCTAATACGGGTATCCGGAGCCCACAGCGAGCAGTTGGACGGTTGAGAACGGCAACTTTGCCGGAGTTCTCTCGTGCTCTGTCGGAGTAGTGCATTTCGCTTTGTCGTCGTGCGCGACGTATTCCCGATACATCATCGACTCTATCAGCTCGATTTGTTTGTGCTCTTCGCAGTTGTTTGCAGCATTGCTTCCATCCTCACCGGCCAAGATAAAAGTGTTGTGAAAATAAAGAAAGGTCGGTCTAAACAAAATGTATGGAATATAAACTTTGTTTATAAATCCTTTTACCATCGACGTTTTTCGTTTTTGTTTCAGTTATATGTACATGGTTGCGTTTGATTGGTTTTTCACGTTGACATATTGTGTCTGGATGGATGCCGAAGGGGTCAATGACATACCGAAGGGGTCAACGACAGCGAGTTCCCCAGGGGTCAATGTCGTCCTGACTTTACTAATGCCGCTGGCTCGCTGTAGGTTGAGGGCGCCCTTGACGATGTTTACGACGATTGAAGGATTAAGATAGCTTGATTTAAACAGCCTGCTCCGTTCAGTTATGATGTATGTGTTGTCCAGATGTATTTGTGTATCAAATGAAATGCGCGTTGTGTAGAGCACATTCATACGATGTCCCATCGCTGTCGCCAGCGGGCTGTCCACGTGGTACCTTCTGGTCGGAAGGCTCTGCTGCAGACGTGTGCACTGTGTGCGGGCGGTATTTTGTATGAGTCAGGAAAGGGAATCGATGAAGAGCTTGCGCATAGCCGTGTCGGTGTCGGCGCCGGAAAGAGGTGGCCGCTGGCAAAGGTCACGGCTGGTAGCACAGGCTGCCCGCGCGGCTGTGACACCGGGCTCGCCCGTGGTTCCATTGTACTGGCGGCGGCGGCTCCTGTTCACAGCTATCGACTGCTTTTGGGGACAGCCTCCGACTCGGGCATTTGAATTATTTGATGTTCTATTTCCGGCGCAGTGCATTAGTTCCACATTGCACAGTTAACGGTGGGAATTCGGATGCCGGTAATTCAGGATGGACTGTTTCTGCAGTGTTGGTTGTCTGTGGATGCTCTGTGACAGCCCGTAGAACTAACATGAGTTTCCTTGCGTCCGCAGAGCACTTTCACATATTCGTCGGCGATCTCAGTCCGGAGATTGAGACCCACACTCTGCGGGACGCGTTCGCCCCGTTCGGAGAGATCTCGTGAGTACCGTGCGTGGGTGCGCTCCAGCCTCCTCCGCGCCGGCCGTGTCCTGGCCCCCGACGCCGCCCCCGGCACAACGCGGGCTGAGACGCAGCTGCCGCCGGCGCCTCTGGCAGGCCGAGCTTGTGACGCCCGGCCGTCGGTGGTCAGCGGTTCGCGTGAGCCCGATCTCAGTGTATTAACGAGCCCCGAGCTGGACTGGCAGCAGCCTGCAAGGACAGCGGCATGGGGAGTTGTCGTTTATGCAGCGGGTGCCGTGTCAGCGCCTCGTGCCGCCGCGTGTCTGTTGCCCTGGAATGTGTTTTGAGCGTGTAGGCCATGTCGCTGCTGAGTCATCCGGAGTTAAACTCATCATCAGCATTACTTGCGGCAAGTGGAGCCAAGCGTCATGATGTGGCGACCTCCAGCGAGCGCGACGAAGTGTGTGTAGAAAATCCATATTGGCCGCATGGGCCTCCGCGGCCACTCAGCCCGGCCTATTGTTAACTTCAAAGCAGCGCCATCCATGATGGGTTGTGCGGCCGTGGTGTGTGTGTGTGTGTGTGTGGAGCCACACCACCGTTCTCCGGCACGATTTCTCGGAGCGCAGCGTATCTTTGTATGCTACGCTCGGCGTCGTGGCCAAACTAAGCGCACTGACGAAGCTACCTGAAGATATCAAACTCAGTTATACTGGCTGGAGCGGCAAAAGTTTTCAGAAAGAAAAACAAGCATTTTGTTGGCCGGCGTGCCGGGAATGTCGATGCTTGCTGGCTGCAATCTGACCCCGAGTTTCAATTTGGGTCCCCAGCCAATTTTATAATTCAAGTCCTAGTTATCATAGCTGATTGGCATTACGTATGCATTGTTGGAGACCAGTTCGTAATCTTGACTTGTCTGGAACAAAATGCAAGAGGCTGCATAGCGTCGCCCCCACGAAAGTTATTTGAGATCCGGCCTTGAGCAAAGTATTTCCATTTAGTCCTGTGATGCGGCACCCGCTTCATTCTGTCGAGTCCGCTGCGAAAAAAGGGCATTCCTTCCAACAGCAAGCACTAGTCCTTAGCCAAAACTTTCACAGGTTTACAGGTTGAGGACAACGTTTTTCGGTAGCGTTGCTCTGCATTATTTATTCGTGCCTCACCGCGAGCCGAGTTTCAACGAAATTAAATTCATTCTGGGCTTATTATGCGCTCTCAGCAGTGCTGTTGGCCGTAATGTGGCCCATTTAGTGGGCGACGCTTTAAGCCGACCACGCGGCGGGAGGAAGAGAGGAGTGGTTCCCACTCTCGCTTACCGTGTACCAAAGCTGGCGTCCGATGCCTTACCCACGCGCCTTCAGGTAACTGTTGCCGCGTGCTTCGCGGTGCGAAATGCAGATAAGGAAGCGGGCTGTGGATAGGACGGGCTTATGGGTGCGATATGATAACGATAGAGGGTATAATTTAGGGAGGGGAAAGGACTGAGGTTGGTTGTTATACTGGGCGCAAAATGACCTGGACCGTAGGCGAGCCTCTAAGCCCCAATATCATCATCATCATCATCATCATCGTTGGTTGTTATATGGGGTGCGGTATATAAGCTAAGATCGTTGGTTGTTATATGGGGTGTGGGGTATAAGCTAAGTCGGAAGCCCAGGTGACGCGTTAGATCAGAGGGCATGGCGGCGGTAGCCAGGACGCGGCAGCCGCGAGCCGTCGGGTGACGCGCCGCTCACAGCGCCAGGTCGATGGTGGCCACCGGCTCAAATCGGCGGGGCACCGAGAAACGGCGGCCGACCGTCGCACGAGGTAGAGGGGCGAGGTGAGTCGCCGATGCTTTCGGCACGGGCAGAAATGGGCACCCAAGCGGGAGCCAGCCTACTCTACTTTATTCAGACTGTCGTGGGAAAAGACGGCCGACCTTTTTTCTATTTCGCAAACGAACGCCGCTGGCTTGGCGGCTACTGACTACGGTCGGTTCAATAGTGTTTCAGTGGAGCGTCACTGACTTTCTCCGACCATCCTTAACATTCGTTTGGGGGAAGGGTATCGACGTGTGGAGAGAGTGATCAGTGCTCGGCGAAAAAGCAAATATCTTCATTGTAACACATCATTGCGGAACAGTGTGCTTGCGCAGCTGCCAGCTTTCCCTCTTTCATCAACATGACTGATTAAATTTGATCGCGCACTGAGAAGGGTGGAGATAGTCAGAAAAGGTTCGGTTACCAAAGCTGTTAGACTATGATTCATTTTTGTCACTTACCCCGTTTACATGAGTCGACCAAACAGACGATTTCGCGATGATTGGAAAAAGGCGCAGTTTCTACTCATGTAAGTAGGCTTCAGCGACGCCGTGACAGCCACTTACGGTATCTTAAATCTACGATGGTGGGAGGGGAATTTATGATTCGCGTAAGTCCCGCACAAAGAACTAAACGTGCCACTTGTCTTCTTATGAGTTTTTGAGAAATTTGTTAGGGTCTGATATAAATAGATTACAAAAAACAAAAGGCAAACAAGCTTTCTGAAGTAAGGTAAATCCATTCACTCAACTACATTTTTCAATATGAACTTTTCTTAGACGAAGCTACGTTTCGTAAGTTGTGCATGTTCCCATCGTTTCTTTCAGCCGCCTTGTCACAGGTGTCGGCGTGGCGCGCCAAGATTGCGAAGGTGTTGTTGGGCTTCCAGCGTTGGTGTTTCATGCGTGCTTCTATCTGTGAAATTGGTTATTGTCGTTACCCGCTTGGGTAAAGCTGCGCTATCGAAATTATGAAGCATGCGCCACTGGACACTGCAAGGAGAGCGTCTCACGTATAGCTCCTTCGTCTGCTTAGCTGTGCGGTGGTATGAGACCCTCTGCCATCTCCGCGCATCCCATCTTTTGACATGGGCAGCTTTTTTGCCATTGCAACAAATGTTTGGCGCACGACCACTCCAAAAGTACGTCTTGAGCCAAGTACAAGTCAGCCCCTCCATCTATCTTCGTATCTGCTACTGTCTGCTACCTGCCGCCTGAGCGCGATGTGCCTGCTTTGAGTTGTGATTCAGTACGTCGTTCTTGTCGCACTTGCGCCAGAAATGCAAAAACAACGCAAAAAATTGGACATTTCCAGGCTAACGCGCTGTGCGCTTATCGTAGATTTACAACTAAATTTGCGATTGGCTCATGTAAACGTGTCGAATTATCGTCACTTTCGTGAACGATTCGAATAGTAAATTTACGGTTGTAGTGCACCGACTCATGTAAACTGGGTAATTAATTGCGTCATCGAGGCAGCGGATCTTTTGACCTGCGCGTCGAGATGTGAGTCCGCTCCTTGGCCAGTTCTGACCTGGTCACCAGGCCGACTGCAGGTCTGCTGAATGAGGTAGCTGCGCTGTGGCGGCGCCGGGCGCAGGACACAGGTGAGGGCGTCGCCGCCCGGTTCGCCCGTTACCGGGCCCGCTCGCCCCCTCCGCGGGGCGTGCGCGCTTCTGCTCGGTCGCCGGGCCAATTTGCGCGGCTGGCGCCAGTTGAGCTAATTTCCTGCGACGTGTTTAAGCGCCGGAATCGGCCGCCCGATGAGCCGGCGCTTGGAAATAAACAGGCGCGCCTGTCGTCCGCGGCCGTCGGCGGGCGCGTCAGCACGGGACCGCGCCGCTGTTGGCGCAGCTAATGGACGGCCTCTCAGCGCGACTTGAGTGGCGCTCCCCGCCAGCTTGATTCGTATCTGGCGCGGCGCGACGATCGCGCCCGCCGTCTGATGACGTTATTTGTGCAGCGCGGCGTCCGCCCTCCGCCGCCGCCCATTGACATTCCGGCTGGCGTGCAACCATACCTGGCGCGGCGGCGCCTCCTCTGATGGCCTCGCCGCGTAGGCGGCACGCTCCGTATGCGAACGGGCGTCCTGCGCAGCCACCTGGAGGGACTGCGGGCAGACCGCAGCCCCCCCCCCCCCCCTTCCCCTGCGGGCCCATCGTCTCGGAACTGTTTGTCGGAAAAAAGCAGCTGAAGGCCGCGAGCGGGGCGCCACCACCGCTGGCTGCCGCCAGACTAATGCTGTTGACGCCGGCCGCAGTGGTGCGCGGCGTGGTGGCCGGCCGAGTTTGTCGTGCGGTGTGGGAGGGCGGCAGCCGTGGCGATCTGGGCGGGCGGCCAGCGAGGGCCACCGGCGGCTGGGCGGCCGACGCCGCCCGGGCAGCGTGCCGGCCCCCGGCGGCGGCGGCGCGGCCCGGGCCCTCGGTGTCGGACGGTCGCGTCGCCCGCTGTCTCCTCCGGCTACCGCCGCACGCTGCCCGGCCGGGCGCGTTTCACGCTCGGCATTCATAATTCAGCGCCGCCGCCGACGGACGGCCAATCCGGCGGCCGCTGGCGGCGCTATGAATTTTTTACCTCCCGATGCGCGGCGGCCTGACGCGGCGGCGCCGCTCCCTGGTCACGGGGCGCGCGCCGGCGTCGCCGCTGTACGTGACAGACCGAGCCGAGCCCGCCCACCGCCGTCTGCTGCGCCCTACCTCAGCTCGCTGGCCGACGCATGCTGCCAGGCTTTGCCAGGCTCCTGGACGTCTTCTGACGGTAACATTTGTGATTGGTAATACTGGTGAGGGACTGCAGCGGAAGGCTCTGAACATAAAATGCTTAACAACAATCGGGTTGTCTAGTTCGCTATCATCCCTCTGTTAAAAATGCATGTGCATTGGCTTCATGTCGACGACCGTCGTGCTTTACTCAATGAATGTATCAAGAATATGTTCATTGTAACCTATAGCTATTACACGTTTGTTTGCCGATACCTGGCGTTGCTTTTGGCCGAGCAAAAAAGGCATGACGTATCACAATTAATATTATGAGCCGTGTTTGGAAAGTCCTCGACTTGTTTCATTCCGATCCACAAACAGCCCTGGAGAGAGCGCTCTCGCAATGGTTCTCGCGGTTTTATTCTGTGTGCTTGTTTTCGCCGACTTGCTCCAGTCTGTCATATTTGCATAATAACGGTCTTAAGCGGCGTATCTCACCTACTTTTCCCGACAATTAATCTCTACATTCATTCTTTACTGTCTATTTTCAGTGGCGCTTAAACTATTGGCGCTCGCTGCATAAAATTACCGAGGGAGACTGAAATTCATGTGAGCTGGCAGAATTTACGTCGGTATTTTCTCGGCGCAGGCTGCGAGTCATTTTTCACAGGGCAGCGGAACTGAAACCAGACGAATTTACCACGCCCGTCACAAAAAGGAAAAGGGTGTGCACGCACCAGCCTTTTTGTGTACGGAAGCTCCGCCCCTCAAATGTAGGCCGGCGGTAACCCGCAAGAACGTACGACTCTGACAAAACTGGCTTCTCGTTTATGATGCGTTGTTGAGTGGCTGTTTCCGCGTGCGATTGTGCCGCGCTGCCGCAGTCATTTGTGCGGGTAATTTGTGCTGCACGCGCTGGGCCGTGGCCGGAGACGGTGGCTGCTCGGTCGGCTGTCGGCTGGGCGGCGGGCGGTGCAGCTGGACGGCGAGGGATGGCCGCCCGCCGTCGGCCGGTCGGGAGCCAGCCGCCACTCCTTCGCCTCCGCTTCAGGGACGACCTCAGGCCGTACTGACTTGCGGCGGCGGGAGACACGGCCGCTGCCAGAGCAGGAACCTGCGCTGTGTGGTCAGGAGCCGCCGCTGTCGAGTGAGGAGTCTCTGTCGCATCGAATGTCGCCGCTATCGGATTGGGAGCGGCTGCCGTAGGACGGGTGGCAGCCGCCCGAGAGCGACTGTCTGCCCTGCCGCCGTGTGGGGCTGAGTCGACTCAGAGCGGGGAGGCCAGTGCACCAGAGTTCTATTACGCCGGAAGACGGCGTCAGGAGCCGCTCGCGAACACAGTTCATGACCCAGATCAAACAGTGGATCAAGCGTGTCACAATGGCGCCGAGTCGGTGCCCAGAAAAGCTGCGGCGGCTCTACACGGAGCGCCGGTCGCCTCTGAGCAGCATCACACGTCGGTGTGCAGCGTGCCTGCGCCACTGAACTTGGCCGCCCGCTGACCCCGCCGCGTGTCGCATCGTCATTCTGCTCATGAGGCCGCCAGAGCCGGTGCCGAGTGAAGCTGCCCTTGGCGTGGCTGTTGGCCATTGGGACGGCCTCTGTTGTGCGCCGCCATGGCGCGGCGCGATACGGAACGGACACCAATTGGCGGCTGGGCGGCGCCGGCGGCCGGCCTGCACGCCCCGTGTTGGCCCTGTGTGCCGGCCCGGCGGGCGCGGGACGCGACGCCGCATCGATCCCCGCGGCCGGCGGCGCCGACCGTCGTGTGCGAATAGCCTAATGATACACTGGAGCAATCAATGCCCCTTCACTGGCACATATCCGCGGATTTGGGTGTTTGCACCCGGTATTACGGGCTCCTCCAGTCGAGTTGATTGCATGAGCGATTGGCGTGGCGGCCGTCGCCGGCACAAAGGGTCGCTCGACGACGCATTGTTTTCGCCCAGTCACATGACAACGGGCACGGCAGCGGCGCGGACGCGCGGCCCGTTAACGACCGCCGCTGGCCACGGGCCCCGCCCCTTCCCCCCCACCCCTCCCCTGCAGCGGCCCTGACGGCCTGCCGTGACGGGCCAGCCCGGCCGGATGGTCATGCTCGCCTTCGCATGCCCCGCGTCCAGCCCCGTGTCCCGAGCGGACGGTGCAGGCTTGCGGGGTCGCCGTCCCGCCTCGCTTCAGCTCGAGGGCGATTTAAACGGGACTGTCCTGGCTGTCACCCCTCCCCCGCGGTGTCGTCGGAGGACAGGTCAGACCGTCATTACCCCCTCCCCTCCCCTCCCTTGCTCGACCCCTTTGTCGGCGGTCTGTTTTTCCTCAGTCGCCGGCGCCGTGGCGCGGCTGAGCTGTTTATGTAATTGGTGCATTAGTGCAATCAAATTTAGATCGTGTGGCGATAGAAAGCCGTAACTGAATACCAACGATGCAATTTGGCCTAACTGGCCGCCTGCTCTCCTCGCCGTTCGCCAGATTACATCTTGGAAGTGCATTGTTTGACTTCGGCGGGAGGCGAAAGTCACGGCAGAAATTCCGCACTGCGCCAGCGGATGAGAATGTCGGGCCTCGGACTGCGACGGTCGTGTTTTGTCGCCGATGGCGAACCTCTGGCAACGCCGTCGTATCTGCAGCTGCCGTTACAGACGCGACCACGGCCTAAACGGCGGCGAGTTGGCCGTATCTCGGCCGCCGACGGCTTCGGAAGCCTGCCAATATGCAGTGAGGCGTGCATCGGAGCGCGGCGGCGCTGCCAATGCTCGGCCGGCCCGTCTGCGGCCGACCAATCAGCGATCGGCTGATTTGTGCTGATTTAGCCGGCGGTCATTTATTGGACAAAACCAGCTGGTAATCTTGGCGCGGCCCGTTCCGTTTGAGTTGATTGGGTGTGGGCCGATGGGCTGTCGTCTGATGAGTATGCATGAGGCCGGCGCATTGGTCGGCCCCAGAGCTGACCTTTTGCGGCTACCGTTGGCGGCGCCGCCCGCTGACACGACCCCTCTGTGTCGCCCGCAGCGACTGCCGGGTGGTGCGCGATCCTCAGACGCAGAAGTCCAAGGGCTACGGCTTCGTCTCCTTCGTCAAGAAGATGGTGAGTGGGCGCCGCCCGCGACCGGTGGTCGTTGCCCTCGCCGCCTGCATGTCGGCGGATGGGGGCGATCAAAGCTGTTGTACCGGGATGATAGGCGGTGATGTTTGCCTGTTTGCTTTCCTAAACGCCCTCACTTTAAAGATGTTAAATAGGAGTTGGCTTTACAGCTCGTACCGTTGTTAAGCCCTGGCGTGTGTGTGAATAAAAAATGAAGTTCCCTTGACTGAAACATTCTATCTTTTGAACAACCAAGAATTATCTGCAGCGCTTTTTGGCCACCATCAATCTTCCTGTTTCGTTCGTTCGAAGCCTGAGCTGGCCGGCCGCCGTAGCACGGAACGGCCTTTCAGGACGCTGCGTGTGCCGTTCGCTCGCCTCGGGCATCGGCCCAGCAGCCGCGCCTTTCCGCGTTTATGAGACGAGCCGTGACCTCCAGAAGGCAGCTTGTGACCCCGGAAGGCCAACAGCCGAGAGATTGACAGACTGGCATGTTAATGGCCGCCGACAAACGCAGCCACTGGGGACCGTTTGGAAGAAACTGGACACGAGTTCTCTGCAGGACCCGATTATAGTGGTCTCTTTGTGTTCCGACTTCCTCTCGCTCTCTCACTGAATGCGGTCATTGGTATTAATATTCTTGGCGTTGATTTCACATGCGCTACCCCTTTTTAAAACTCCGGGATGATTTAAACGGCCGTGCTTTAAGCATAAGACTTATGGGTTTGTAGATCAATATGGGTTTGAAGAGTAACCTCCCGGTTGTATGGGCATGGGTACCAATAAGTAATGAGATAACCATCGCCACCCAATGCATTAGCGTGAACTGGTGAGAATAACAGCACAGTTCTGTGTCTAAAAGTCAAGGCATTGAGCGCATTCCGGTTACCTATCTGGTAGCAAAAGGATGTCCATTGCAGTCAGTTCTCGTGATAAACTCACGTCGTCGTAGTGTCGCTGGTTTTTAGTGACACCAACGTCCCGTCTTCCGATCGCGCCAAATACCTCCCTAGCCCCGATTGCAGCTTATTCTGACGGACATCGGTTTTGTTCAGGGCGGATCAGATGAGATTGGCTGCGCCGCGATGAGTCAGAAGTTCGATGATACGTACACCGCGCTACCTCCGCGGTGCTGCGAGGTTCGGACTGTTCTCGTTACACATGCAAGCTCGGTGCTGAAAATCCCATCACAGATAGATGGACTGGGGTTTATGATCGGCCCTGAGCCGCGGAGCTTCACCGCGCAACCAATGCCGCATTTGTGCCGGAAAAGCCGGCCCGCCACAACCTTTGCGCGCCCACCGGCAGAGTGCGGTGCCGAAGTACATGTAATCCAGATTCCTACGGCCCAGTAAGGTAGTCAGTAAAATATGCTTCTCGTCATGTTGTACCGCATGCCGAGCCAGGTGATCTGCCGTATTGTTTACGCTTTTTGGTGGTGAAAGTTGCATCACGATGCGGATAAACGTCCCCAAAACTCCTTCCTTGGGTGAACCCGTTGTGCTTGGCTGGAATCGCGCCATCATCCGTTTACAATGTTCTTAATAGCACACGAAATGGCCTGTCCATTTCGTTTTATGGCAGGATACGTAACCATCGTGTTGTAATAACTCGTTTCATTTTGTGGGCGAGGGGTGCTCCATTTCATATCCTGTCTCGATCCGGGGTGGTTTGGGGCTCAGGTAACCGTGTGCTTTCGGCGCCCCCTCCCCCCCCCCCCCTATTTCGCGCCCCTGGCGGCTACTAACAGCCTTGGTGACCACTCTCAGGCCGGCACGACCCTTCCTGAGACCGGATTAACGGGTCGACGTTGCTCTAAAGAGAATGCATCCCTGTAAACTCTACGGCTCATTTCAAGACTGTCGAAATGTTACTTAATGGAAGAAAAAAGTTCCGGGGACGCCTTGACAGCGGTTATAATAATACCTGCGCAGCGGCGCCTCGCGCTTCTTTTAATGCCCAAGACCCCTGGGCTTCACGTACAGGCGGCAGTTATGGTCCAGGACAGCACGGGACTGCTAATTGTTGACTTTGCGAGCAGCATCAACCGGGATTGACGTAACCGCCTATGAAAGCCCTGTTTCGGGGCAACTTAGCCAACTACGCGACAGACGTAAGCTATGTTGGCTGATTTTGATCTGTGCCTGGCTGTGTTACATCAGGTGAGATGTGAAGAGGACCTTCATGGTAACGTCATGCGACACGTTTTTGGTCCGTGTCTTCGACCGATCCCGCCTCAACTGTCTTCGGCCGCTAGGCCGCGACCGTGCCCCCCCCCCCCCCCCACACCCCTAAGTCGGCCTTCGCGGTCACGCGACCAGGATGCCAGGCCTGCCCATGTAGCCTTGGCACCCGATGCATGTAGCTGGTCGTTGAATGTGGTATGTTGAGCCCCGTTAAGTTAGCTATGAGACCGGTGGCAGGCTGGGCAAGTGGCGCCTGCGAGCGGCGCCGACACACCATGACAGTGATTAAGAGAGGCGAGAAGGCGACGCACGTTAGAAATATGGTCCAACAAAAACCTTTGCCTCCCTGGGTATCCTCTGTGACTCATTATGACATATCATTGTCCGTTTTAACTTGTGAGCGTGTCCGAGCTCGTTGGTGACGCATGTTCGGGCCAACAGGGCCGGGAGGCGCCTGCTCTAAAAGAGCAACAGAATGACATATTATCACCCCTTCCCCAAAAAGTCACTGCAGTGTATCGAAAGGCAACAATCCACCATTTTTCCGTAAAATGGCGTTTGAATGGCAAGTGGCAAGCCACGAATGCAAGCATCCACTGAATGTCATTGACAGGCAAGTAGGTATAGTAATTGATCGCGTTGTTCCGGTTCCACCCTATGCCTCACCCTTTCTCGTTCTCACTCACTCTCTCCTAGTTTCTAGTATAACCTGAATATGCAGATATGCCTGCTCCAGCAGTATGGCCAGCTCATGAACGTATGTGCTAGAAATTTATGCTACCATCTTTTTACTACAAATAGAAGTATTTGTACTTGCCAAGAAAGTTGTGCGTCTTCGCGTATCTCCTCGTCTTTCTCGTCCCTCCTTATCCTGCTGCCTGCATATCTCCGGTCCTTTCTCCGCTAGCTCTCGTCTCACTCGAACCGTTCGTTTCGAATCACTCGCATTGTCAGTCTGAGGCTTCTGCTTAGTTCTGGCAACGTACCTTTCCACAGAAAGTTTTCTTGGGCCTCCTCTTCTGCTGAAAATAGCCCGCACAATTAAGTTAGCAAGATTGCACAGATGAAAGCAAAGTGCAGGATTCTCACTCCGTGGCCCTTCACATTTTGTCGGCATCGCCATCGGGGAGCTGTGTGTGCCGGTGCCTTATGGCGCTCTTCCAAGTTCCGAGCGACTTTATTGCTCGCTTCTGAATCCCGCCTCGCGTCAGTTGATAGGCTGGATGCGACAAGTCCAAGTATGGTGACGTCATGATTCAGAGCTTACCTCTTTGTAGCGGTCCGAACGTCGTCGGTGAGGGGTGTGGGCAAACGGTCGGATTAGGTCATCATGGGCCAGTTTTTGTTTGACCCCATCTACTGAGCTTGCTCAAGGGCGACGGGAAATTTGTGCCTCTTCTCGTTCGTACCGCCGGTTTGCGTATTTCGCTTCCCTGCTCGAGGATCAGCGAGGCCAGCGCTTAATCAAATCCTAGCAAGCGCTAGTCTGGCTGCGGCCCCAGCCGGACCACACCGGCCATGCCCCGCGCGCTGGTGTGTGGTGGGGTGGGGCCCTGTCACACCACACTGGTCACGTGACAGAGGTTTCACGTGACTCTCCCTGCGGGTCTTGAAATCAGTCCAGAACGACGGTGTTTTCACGTGGTAGGCTTGTTCGATGCCTTTGAAAGCAGGCTGTCCACCCTCCAACTCTCCCTCTCCCCCTCTCTCTCCCTCTCTCCCTCTCCCTCTCTCTAACTAGCAGCCGACACTCGCGGGTGCCTACTGTCCTTGGCCGTGACGTCTCGCCTGCGAGCCTTGTCCAGCTCGGCTCGTGCTGTCGTCCGCCGTTGCCGGCCCCGCCCGGCGTCACCGCTGGCGCTCGTGAGGCCGATCGGTTCAGCGGCGTCCCACAGCGGCCACGCGGCACGCGATGTTTTCCCGCCTCCCGCGCCCGCATCCGAGTGACGCGTTTCTTTTAATGGCCAGACAATTTAAAGCTTCCCTTCCACAAGTGTAGAATTAGTACGCCGTAAATGTCACTGTGGCAGGGGCAATAGGGAAAATAGTATAATTAAATGTCTCGTATATTTGTGGCGACACGGCGAAGTGCGTTCGTCGTGTCGACGTTCTTCGTCCAGACTGGCCGACCATTCGGTGTTGGCCACCTAGCTGCATGTAAATTGGGATTAATTAGTCCAAGTAGGTATTGTTATCCAAATGTTGTGAGATAACTTGTTGGCACAACAACACTCCCCCCGTCTCCTTTACAACCCTCTGTCACTCGGTATGGATCTCTCTCTCTCTCTCTCTCTCTCTCTCTCCTCTCTCTCTCTCTCTATCTCTCTCTCTCTCGTCTCTCTCTCTCTCTCTATCTCTCTCTCTCTCTCTCTGTCTCTCTATCTCTCTCTCTCTCTCTCTCTCTCTCTCTCTCTCTCTATCTCTCTCCTCTCTCTCTCCTCTCTCTCTCTCTCGGCTCTCTCTCTCTCTCTCTCTCTCTCTCTCTCTCTCTCTCTCTCTCTCTCTCTCTCTCTCTCTCTCTCTCTCTCTCTCTCTCTCTCTCTCTCTCTCTCTCTCTCTCTCTCTCTCTCTCTCTCTCTCTCTCTCTCTCTCTCTCTCTCTCTCTCTCTCTCTCTCTCTCTCTCTCTCTCTCTCTCTCTCTCTCTCTCTCTCTCTCTCTCTCTCTCTCTCTCTCTCTCCCCCTCTCTCTCCCTCTCCCCCCACGTACTCGTATCCTCTCTTCCTCCCTTTTGTTTTCTTCTTTCCTCTGTCTTTCTCTCTCTTCTCCTTCCCTTTCTTGCTCTCCCTATCTTGCACGTCACTCGCACCCTGTCGTGCTGTGTCCCGCAGCCCCGCTTCCGTTCATTCCCCCCCCCCCCCCTCCCGTTCTTCGTCCCTCCGTTCCCCCGATCCGTCCTCCGTCGCCAATAGCCCCGCCGTCTCCCGCCGCGCGTCTCCGCCCAGCACGTGACGCCCAGCGCCGCCCCGACTCTCCGCTGCCTTTCGCCGCGCCCCTCCGCTCCAGCACGTCACGTCCAGCGTCGTCCCAACTCTCGGCCGCCTCTCGCCGCACCCCTCCGCCCCAGCACGTGACGCCCAGCGCCGTGGCGACTCCCCTGCCACATCTCGCCGCGCCCCTTCGCCCAGCACGTGACGCCCAGCCCCGCCCTGACTCCCCGCCGCCTCTCGCCGCGCCCCTCCGCCCCAGCACGTGACGCCCGGCGCCGTCGCGACTCCCCTGTCATATGTCGCCGCGTCCCTCCGCCCCAGCCCGCGACTCCCAGCGCCGTCCCGACTCCCCTGCCGTCCCGACTTCCCGCCAGCCGACGCCACTGGTGCGGGCAGCGGCCGGGCCACGCCGCAGGGCTCAGATTTCTGCCGGTTGTGATATGTTTTACGGGCCCGGCCGCCTCACATTTGACGCCCATTCGTTGTAATGAGAACTGAGAAAGCCAGGCAAGCGGATTGAGATAAATGAAGCAATAAGGGCGAGATGATACTGTTGTGTTTTATGTCTTATGGCGGGTTATATATGGCTATGCGGACCATTTCTGGCATTGCATTGCCAAAAGGTTGGAATTATTTTGCTTTGGTTGAAATCGTGACGGTGACATGTGAGTGGAAAATGTAAGCAGTAAGATTCTGCCAGCCGGTGCGATAAATTTTCGTGAAAGAAAATGCATCCACCGCACATGGTTTTGCTTCGCTGTTCCGGGTATGCATTGTTTGTGCATAAAGATCACGGATCGTATTTCGTGATGTGATTTGCAGACCTCGGCGGTTTTCGCCCAAAGATGTGCATTTGTAATGCTATGAAATCAATCGTGAAAATAATGATCAAATTATCAGCTTATGGCTGAGTCGATTTGGTCAATTGCCTGCTTATTACTGGTCTGTTACTAAGAATCCAACGGGATGGACATTGCTATGAGATGAGTTATAGTAGTCTATGCCCGTCGTTGCATAAAGCCGGAGGCACAGTGTATTATAACAGTAAAGCCGATATAAAAGTATGTGATAACAGTAAAGCCGAGTCAGTACATTTCGTCCTTTGGCTTCGTGAGGACCGCTGGAACTACGATAAGAAAAACTTGTTAGAAAGTCGTCATTGTTTCGGATTTGTTGCCAATGACATGAGCGTAGAGTACCTACTTTACCCCTATAACAATCTAGACTATGTTTTACAAAGTAAGAACCAACATGCAATCGCGTGAGCCTGACGTCTTTCAATGAATCAAGACAGGGCTTCCGAGTTTTACACAAAGGTTTTCACCAGTAGAGCTATTATCCGAATGGGCATACTGACGTCTATTCCTTATTGATACGCTCTCACTCGCAGGCCATGCCCCGTATGGGGCGCCGCCTCCACCGTATCAGACGTGTCCGAGCGTGTCTGGAGGCGCGATCCTCCACTCCAGTCCGATTAGCAGCCAGTTGGAAGAGTTCGCAGTGGGTGCTGTGTTCGCTGAACTGTAATACGCGATTGGATTAAATTTCCTCTACGGAGAAACGGAAGCTGTTATAGGCTGCCGTCGCAGTCCAATGTTTATGAAGCGCGGTCGCCACTGTTCTCCAGTTCACGCAGCTGGGCTCGATCTCAGTCATCCTGTCCTGTGATTGTCATTCTCCATGTACTCAGGGGTTTGCTGTTCCGTATTGCTGCTCTGACGTGAGCACAAAGCTTCTACGGTTTGGTCATGCGGGCCGGCCGAGATGCATTCTGACAATCGCCCTCGCCATGTACGCGGTGCGCCTCGGGTAAACATAGTGAGACTGCCGTCGACAGAGTCATGGAGCCGGCCTTCACACATCCCCCGTGCGCTGGGTCGGGACCTGCTGGCACAGCCGCTGACCCGGTGAGCAGGCGTCCACACCGGATCCCAGGACGCCGCGCCGGTGAAGTGTGGGAGGGTCTGCCGACGCCGCGTCCGTGGAGTGTGGGAGGGTCTGCCGACGCTGCGCCGGTGGAGTGTGGGAGGGTCTGCCGACGCTGTGCCGGTGGAGTGTGGGAGGGTCTGCCCACGCTGTGCCGGTGGAGTGTGGGAGGGTCTGCTGACGCCGCATCTGTGGAGTGTGGGAGGGTCTGCCGACTCCGCGCCAGTGTGGGAGGGTCTGCCGACGCCGCGCCGGTGGAGTGTGGAAGGGCCTGCCGACGCCGCGCCAGTGTGGGAGGGTCTGCCGACGCCGCGCCGGTGGAGTGTGGAAGGGCCTGCCGACGCTGCGCCGGTGGAGTGTGGGAGGGCCTGTAGACGCCGCGCCGGTGGCGTATGGGAGGGTCTGACGGCGCTGCGCCGGTGGAGTGTGGGAGGGTCTGCCGACGCCGCGCCGGTGGCGTATGGGAGGGTCTGACGACGCTCCATTGGTGGAGTGTGGGAGGGACTGCCGACGTCTCAGTGATCATGACCTCCAGCGACCGTGGCCTCTGGCGGGCTGATCTCGGGTCGCGCCCACACGGCAGCTGCGCGTTTATCTTCGCAGGCACTCTAGAATTCATGGTCTGGGCCTGGAGTGGTCTAATGAAATGAGAACTCAATCATCTATGATTGCTCCGTGTATGCCATAACTTAGCCATTCATGGCGAGCGGTGCGGTGCGCTGCCGGCCCGGACGCGCTGTTTTATTCGGCGGCTCATCCGTTGGTGCGACACTAGCGACAATGAGATGGGCCCGGTCGTGGCTGAATTGTGTGTCGCGGCGCCGGCGAGTTACCGCCCGCCGCCGGGTGTCACCAGCTCGTGCGGCCCGACGCCGCCCCACCTGGGCGCTCACGCCCACGCCGGCATCCGACGGACGATTAAGCTCGGTTTGCCCGTGCGTGTACTTGTCCGCGTGGCCCGATCTAGGCTGGAGCGGCGCACTGACCGAGACAGGTGTGGTGGTCGGCAAATGACCCAACGATCGATGCTGATGCCTTGTGTTGCCCTGGCTGTTGTTTGGGTCTCGGTTAGCCTGTGTAGGCAGTTCCCGGGCCGCCGTCTCTTTAGACTACAGGCGTTCAGGGTTTCTGTTTTCTTCATCGGATGAGCCTTTCTCGCCGTCCTTATTTATGTTTGCCACAGTTGAGCGAACAAACAAACTCGCCTGCTGCAGGAGGCGGAGAACGCGATAGCGGCGATGAACGGCCAGTACCTGGGCAGCAGAAATATCCGCACCAACTGGGCCACCCGCAAGCCGCCGGCGCCCAAAAACGACCGTAAGTACAGCCTTGGGGCCTGTGACGATCTGCTCCAATGTCCTGCCTCGTAGCGGTAGTAAAAAGACTGCTCTCTGTTGCTTCGTCGCTGTGGTCCAGCTGCAGCCGCGAGAGCCGTGGTGTACGCCCGTCACGTACGACCGGCTCCGACTGACGTTACTGACCTCCGCCGTCACTGCAGCGCTAGAGCCCGTGCGCTGGTCCGCGGTACCAGCAGACCGTGCGAGGTGACGTACCGTCGCAGCGCACGCGCTACCGTGATCTGTGGGGGCCATTCCCGCCGCGGCAGGTGAAGCCAACACCTGCCGGAAGACCGGCCATTACCCTGGCGTCCCATTCTTTTCTCGCAATACGAAAGATCGCGCGAGACCTTATCTAGCTTTTGATGCGCCGTCTCCCGCGGCTTAGCGTTCATCACCATACATATTCATTGGTGTTAGGAAAACCATTAGAGTGTGCTCAGGCCGTGAATATGCAACGAGTCGGGGCGATAAGGTTCTACGGGCGGCCGATGGTGCGCCGGCCTTGCCCCGGGCCGCTATCGTGCCGCTCATGTTTGCCTTCGACCGGCGCTGCCGTCCACGTTCTGATCATAAGGTCCATTGTGGGTCCGACCACGGCCACCGCATGCTCCACCAGCGTGACTCTTGGCAGTCTGCGAACGCTTGACTGTTCCGGGTCACTCGGCCGCCTTTAGGTGGTGTTGCGATAGTCGCTTTTTCATATGAGATGCAAGTTTCGGTGCGTTGGGAATAGTGGAGGCTTATGGACAGGGCGTACTTAGCTATCGCGCCGAGGCCCTTCTCACTGGCAGCATCCCCTTCGCGCAAGATGTTACATCCTTATTCGCACTGAGTCAGCGCGGCGTTCATGCAGCCAGCCGCTGGCGAGCCCCTCCGCTTGGTTCGGCCGCAATCGTCCGCCCGGTCCGGCCGGACAGACCTGCTGTTTGTTGGCTGTTGTGCTATGCGGACCGAGGCGGCGCCGATGGTGGCCCGTATTTATGTGCTGGACGGGAGCGGGCCAGCTTTAGAATCCATCGGCGGCTTCTTTGGTCGGCTCCTCCTCTCTTCAGCCCCTGCTCTCTCGCTCGCTCGTTTCCCCCACCCCACCCCAACCCACCTCCCTCCCTCCCTCCCTCCCTCCCTCCCTCTCCAGATCGCCGTTGGGATCGGGGCGGGCGCGCCTCCCTCCGCGCGTGGCCAGAAGCGCACATCCAGACGCTGGAAGGAATTCCTCTTGGACTGTTTCCTCTTCGCGGCATGCAGCTGTCATCGTCCGTGGACGGGTTCGGGTCCCCCTGGCGGCCTACCGATGGAAACCCGCGGTCTGGCTCCCCTGGCGGCCTACCGATGGAAGCCCGCGGTCTGGCTCCCCCTGGCGGCCCACCGATAGAAACCCGCGGTCTGGCTCCCCCTGGCGGCCTACCGATGGAAACCCGCGGTCTGGCTCCCCCTGGCGGCCTATCGATGGGAAGCAGCCGCCGATGTCGGGCGAGGCAGTTGGCCGCCGTGTTGTTCGACAGCGGAGCACCTGATGGCGGCACATAATGATGTTTTCAGTTGCTGTAAGCGCAGCGCCCTGGTAGTGGATCGTCTGCGTGGGCACGGGTGTAGGAATAGGAGGGGCAGAGGTCGCAAGATGGCCATTTCCCGCACTTTTCGAGAATGTTTAGCGTTACACTATAGCGATGCATAGAAAGAATTGACAAAATTGGCATTGCCCCCCACCCCCCACCCCATAACCACATTTGGACGTTTCTACACTTCCGCGCCATGGCTTTAGATGCCGTTGTCACCAATGCATCATGAAATGTAGCATCATTCAAGTGGGTCACGCCCGGTGGGTGCTGCGTAAAGCCGGCCTGAACGATGGTGCCTCGCTGGTACCTGCGCAGTAGCGGGGACGGGTCCAACTGTTACCCATCGCGCTGTCGTGTGGCTTGGTCGGTATGCCTAAACGACAAACGCTTAACACAACAGTGGCGTGCCTTGCAGGTTTTTGACAAAGGCTCCGGGCTATTCTTAATGCTGCAAACAAGAAAGCTTTTAAAATGCATAACGATGCCTGTGTTAGGACTTTGTGGGAAATTTAATGAAGTCAGCAAATGGATGCACATCATTCACGATAAATCAATAGGCCCTGTCACTAACCTTGTTTGTCGACAATAAAGGCACCGGAGCTTTGTGCGTCGCGCTCTCAAAGCGTAATTCAATTGGGCCCCTGAAACAACGCCGCCTCCTGTTTTGATACGTATTTGGCTGTGTCCATTTCCTTTGTTTGGCTGCGAGCACCGGACGCCGCGCGAGGGCGCGGCGGTCGCGGCTGGCCGGGCCAGCGCCGGTCGCTGACCCACCGGCCGCCGGCATTAATCGCTTATCCACCGGCCGGGCCGGCACCAGTGGCTGACCCACTAGCCGGGCCGGCACCAGTGGCTGACCCACCGGCCGGGCCGGCACCAGTCGCTTACCCCCCCCCCCCCCCGGCGGGGCTGGCACCAGCGGCTGACCCACCGGCCGGGCTGACACCAGTCGCTTACCCACCGGCCGGGCCGGCACCAGTGGCTGACCCACCGACCGGGCCAGCACCAGTCACTTACCCCCCGGCCGGGCTGACACCGGTCGCTTACCCACCGGCCGGGCTGACACCAGTCGCTTACCCACCGGCGGGGCTGACACCAGTCGCTTACCCACCGGCCGGGCCGGCACCAGTGTCTGACCCACCGGCCGGGCCAGCACCAGTCACTTACCCCCCCGGCGGAGCCAGCACCAGTCGCTTACCCACGGGCCGCTGACAGCCGCAACTCTGGTCGGTATCGCCGGAGCACTCCACTCAATTATGGGACAGGAAAAGTGCTTTGCTGAACTCCGGGTAAATTTAGTCAAAGCGCTATGACTTCGATGAAAAGAAAGTAATTAGAGCCGCCAGGTTTTGGAAAGTGCCCTCGCTCAATACGTTGAGCATATTGCGCGTGCCGCCGAACAGTACTGCCCGCCGCCGGTGCTGACAGCCAGGGCGGCCACCCACCCACTCAGGACCGCCGGCCGCCGCCCGCCGCCGCCCGGTCGCCGCCGCCAAGATAATTTACGCCTATGTTTCCATGGTGCTGGCGGCGCAAACAAAGCCGCGCATGAAATAATGGCGCGATTACGCCGCGGGCGCATGACGGTAGCTCGTCGTCGGCCGGGTGCCGTTGGCCGGCGGCGAGTTATGGCGCACCCTGGAGGGTGCTGCGCTAGGTCAGCCGCGCCGCGCCGCGCCCTGTTTGTGTCGCCCCGCCGGCCAGCCGATGATTGCGATCAAGGTGGGTGCTGTTTCTCCCGCGAGTTTCCAGCTTTATGTGACCCACGCCGGCGAAGTTTTTCGATTCGTTTGATCGTTTGGCAGATAATGCGGCGCGACGGCGGCGTGACGGCGCTCGGCCGAGTGCCGCGGCAAATAAGAAATACCTAAATGAGATTTTCTTGGACTGCCCGAAGTTGGTTGGATGCTCGTCGCGTTCCCATGGGAGTGTTGTCGCGTTGCTCTCGGCCGAGTTTCTGCAAACGGCAACAGTCGGTCTCGTTGCTTTGGTGAAAGCTAGCAATGCCCTGCTCGTAGAGTGAATCTCACACACCCTGCCAACACAGCCCGGAGATGGGACACCACAGAAACAGATGGCTGATTGATTACGGTCACGTCAGCATGGAAATCTGTATCCTCAGTCATGGAGACTGCATCCCGCCCGCTGCCCGCAATCGCCGGGGCGCCGGTCTGTGCTCGCCGACTCTGAGACGGGAATCACGCGCTACCGGCGCCCGAGGCAGCAGCGGACCTTCTGCCCACTGACGTATCCAGACTGTGCCGCAGCAGACAGTGCCGTCCGTTCGGCCGCGGCCCGCTGACAGGCGCGTGTTCACTGGGGCGAAGAGGGACGACGCGGCCCACTCGGGCGCTCGGACTCCAGAGGCCATCACCGACCTGTTTTTCGTGGCCGTTGGACCGCCGCCTCCTTCGGCCGTCGTCGTTATGAGCGACAGTAAAAAATCGACACCCGCTCGCGCGCGAGCTTCGCTGGCTCTTCAGTTTCCGCTATCCCCGGACGCCGGCATCGATTAGCGGCCAATGAGCAGCGCCTTTGTCCGCCGCCGCGCCGCCGGCCAAGTTCACGGGTCGCACGAGGGCGGCGTGGGGTCCCATGAGGCGCCGCCGGCCGTTCCGGACGGCTCGGGGAGGGGAAGTCGACCACGCACGGCACCGGCCATTGTTCGCCGGTGCAGCGTTATGAAATGGGTCCAGTGACTAATTGCAGTTTGCCGACAGTGATCGGCGGGCGCGAATGACTCTGCGGGCCGTGGCGAACGGGAGGCAATGGGGCGCCGGGCGCCGTCTGGCGAGGCGCGCCGCTGGGTCACACTGGCCGCTGCTGTATCGTCCCTGCGTCCGCTGCGGCGCATTGCCCGAGCGCGCCACATTGGCCAACAGCGCCCAGTCCAAAACATGTTGCGCTGTCAGCGACGTTAAACACGTTTTTATAGCGTTGTTGACGCTAATGCTGTTGTTTATTTGAAATTCGTTAAATGTAAAAAGTGTTGCCGGAGCTGGGTTGATTTTGGAGAACAGGCGTCCTGTTGTGCAGGTTACAATACGCTTTTAACGTAATCGGTTACTGATATGCTCTACACATGTTGCAGGAAGGGTTCTTTGTTTGGTTTATTGTCACAATTGTTGCGTTCTGTATCTGTTACTACTACGATATCTCGGAAAGCAATGACGTTCTGACATCTTAATGATCATCATCGCAATGCCGGCTTAGCTGTTCGGCACCCTGTGGCCAAGTGCGGGACAAATCGCTCTCGTGTGTCCTTCATCGCGTCCTAATATGGTCGTGAGAGAAACACGTGTGTGCTAAAAATGGTGCTTATTAAAAATGCATCAACAACCAAGAAGTTTTGTGTCTTTGAATTGCAGTTTTTATTCACTGTTGTTTGTCCTGAAAAGTCAGGCGAGTTACTCTCTCC